AAAGCACTAAATAAAGCCATGGAATGGAGAAAATGACAAATGTTTGAAACTTTGTTGAAGCATGATGCTGCAATGGGTAAACTTCAAGACCGAATAGATTTATTAGAAGATAATTTAGCTGCTAAAAATCAGGAAATAAGCTGGAAAGATTATTTAGCAACCAAAGAATTACCATCTTTACCAAAGAAACAAAAAGAGAATAGATTATGCAAACTCAAAAAATTAGTAAAGAAAAAACTAAAGAGAGGTTCCAGACTTTTATTGTTCAAAAGAACAAGTAAGCCAATATGAGATTAGAATATAGAATTCTGGAAATAGTCCAAGGGAATGAACAAGAGTGTAACTTCTGTTTCTAGATTTTGATGACCCAACTCTCCTTAATTTCGATACTGCTCTTACTACTCATCAAATGGTGGCTCATAATACTCCTGATGGTTACTCTGATATAGTTTTTATTTGCAGTGAATGTAAAAAAGATTACAATAATAATACTCTTCCATGATGTGAGAAATGTGGTAGGTTAAAAAGGAATAGAAACAGATGCTTTTGTAGTCATTTAAAAGCTAAATCAACTAAACCACTATCCGATGATGAACTACTTTCATAAGCTTTCAGTTCTTGTCTAGAAAACAAACCAGAGGGTTATCTTCTACTAAAGAAGAATTAAAATTGAAAGAGAGGAAGTGGCCAAAAAATTCCAAGAAAAATCCAAAGAATGAAGTAAAAGACTAAAACAAGAATCATTAGATAAGATAAAGGAGTTAGAAGAAGAGAATGGTAACTATAAGGAAGAAATTAAAAAATTAAAAACACAGAACAGTTAACTTCTCAACAGCAAGTTGTTCATATTGAGATTAAAAGAGATTAAGGGATGATCTTGACAGAAAATAAGAAAGTAATTTAAAGAATATTTCTTTTATATAAATTGAAATTCATTTCAACTATCAAAGAGAATGATAGTTATGTTCCTTTAGATGAAAGTTAATATTCTGGCTTTTGATATCTTATTGATAATAATTCCAATGATAATAAAAAAGCAGTACTGATATTTGAAAATATAGGGAGTAATTTTCTCACCTTGTTCCTTTTTCAAAATACTTCTGATAGTACTATAATTCTTGGGGTTCCATAGTATATCCGATGTAAATGAGTTTCATATTAATTGTTTTTGTATAGGGGCAATTCTGTATATCGCTTAAATGTGACATTATAAAATCAATTGTGATGATAATAACTAAATTATGATCCCTGAAATTCTTGTAATACCAATGGTTACTTTGTCTGGTTTTGTTGCAGCATGCCCCATTTATACGTTGATCAAATCGCTCGCGTTTAAACATCAATCATTTCAAATAAAAAAATAAAATGACTGATTTGGATGACTTACGCGATAAAAAATGGATTTGCAGTTCAAACAAAGCACTCAAACTAAGGTTTGGTAGGTTCTTTTCTTAAAGCATTCATGAAAAAAAAAAAAATATATATATATATATATATATATGTATGTATATACTCATAACTTTTGCATCTATTTTACCTATTATTGTTATCATCGATTGTTATACTCTCCCTCTTCCTCTCCTACTATTTGTTATTAATATTATTAATAATAATCT